AAAGGGCCAAAAAAACAAGACCCCACTAGGACAGCACTATTTATCAATGAAAATGAAGAGTTCTTATTTATTACATGAAAGATACATGCATTTTAAAATGAGGTCTTTAGTCCATAAACATAAAAAAGGGTATAGAAAAGCCAAAAGCAACTACCTGATAATGTGTTCATATCCTCGCTGATAGGACCCTCTTTCAAAGCTGGCTGCTGAGAGGGGTACAATCTGCTCTGCTCGAACAACTTTCAAGGTCTCGTAAAAAGCTGCTGTGTTTTTCTTTTTGGCAGATAACAACAGTTGTCCCAGTCTGATACTCCAAGTACTAGATTTCACATCTAGGGGACAAAGAATTTAACCTTTGGAGAAATGTTTAGAGGAAACTCTTCATCAAACTTTCATCAGAATTGATCCAAACAGATTTCAAAAATGTTATGACAACTTAAAAAGGAGTATAACATTAGTATTTCATTATTTCCAAGAGATTTTAAGTAATTTGTGTAAATATATGCTTTTAGATATCTTGGAGGTGGAATTTTCAGAGAAGCTTAATAGCATTTTGCCTAATAGTCCCTTGAAAATTCTAATTATAAAATTATAAAGGACTAGATAGTTTTACAGATTTTGTAAATGTAACACCAGCTGATACATCACAGATCAAGACATTTGCAACAAATGCCTCCTAGTTAAAGCTGGCAAAATTTGAACATATATAATTGCACAAAAATATTGTCATTTTGACATCTAGTTTACTACCTGCAGCCAAATAATTTTCCAATAAATCCCACTGTGTTAGTTTCCACGCTGCTTCCACTCTATATGTGTTCAATTCAGATGTCCACTCTGGCCTACAAAAAATACACATATTCAGAATCCAGAACCAAAATAGCCAGTGCGATAGTCATACTCTCTAGACACAAAAGGCATTAGTATATAAACTAACTTTTATCCCTACATTACTTGAAAATCAAGGCATGTCAACTTGCTGTGAATAACATTAAGTAAAAGAAAAAATGTGATCAACATATATTAATTTGAAATTAAAATACCCTAAACTGAATCTGGAAGTAGTATATATACACACTTTACTAGAAACATATTTTCTAAAGAAAAAAGATGAACTTTTTTAAACATTCACTACTGTGCAAGGAAAACTGTATATTGGGAAAAACACACAAGAAAGAACAAGTATGTGGCAATCAACCATAAAAATGACTAACAATGAAGGATTATTTTTCCTGAATAAATTAAAGCATATTTCTATCTCCGCTGAGTATTATACACAAAGGAACTAGGAATATTTCTGGCTGTGTTGAAATCCTGAAGTTAAAGAAATTTTAAATGTTTTCATTTTGTCCATTAAGTCCTGTTTCCACACTGTTAGACACACCTCTAGTATTAGAAGCTTTTATTGCTCAAATAGGGTTTGTATTAAATTATTACCTGTTAGCAAGCACTCCATTCACTTGAGTGATTACTGTAGATAACTGACCAAGACCTAACATGGACTTCACTACACCATGATAATGAATGATCTAGAAATACAGAGAGAATGGATCAATACACACATCTGTGTGTATGCATATGAGTATACATGTACCTGTGTGTGTAAATGTGTGTGTGTGTGTGTATATATATATAGAGAGAGAGAGCGAGCGAGAGAGAATGTTGGTCTGTGAGTCTGTTCAAGGTAAGAGCTAGGACCACCAAATGTGGTATGCAGCTTCCTCTTATCGTAATTTAATGCAAGATCAAAGTTTGGTTGTGCCAGGAAAACTGGAAGTGTCTAGAATCTTATTGTTTTCCATACATGCAAAGGGTGAGGCCTAATCAGGGAATAGCATTATTACAGAGTGACCACTGTGGGCCATGAGCTCTGACTCAATTCACCTTCTGCCCTAAGCCCTCCACACATCTCCCAGACCCCTGGCCTGATTACTCTACCCTCACCCCATCCAGAGTCCCCCACCATCTGTCCTGAGTCCTGCACTCCCTTCCCCTTGCCCTGAGACCCGCTGCCCTGAGTCCTGCACTCTCCACTCTCTGCGCTGAGCGCCCCCCACACTCAACCTCCTGCTCTCCTGTATCTGTCACCTTCTGTCCTGACCCCCATCATTTAATAAAGCATGGACATTTTCCTTTTAATTTCCAAAAAGGAAAAAATTACTACAGTTAAGGAGCCGAATAACAGCAGGTACATCTGCTCGGAGCATATAATAAAGAGATGCTATGTTGGTAGATTCTGGGTGCAAATAAGTCAATTTTGTTTTTTTCATTATTCTTTTACATTTTTCTAGTATGACATGAAAAGAAAGTTTAAATTATTAAATGATCACATCTAAAAAGAATAGCCAAATTCACACAAAAACATCAAATTTGAACAGAACTCCCTGGAAAAGAATCTCAGCTGATATCAGTAAATTCTAAGGTGTGTTTTAGAACAAAGTAAAGCAGGGTTGAGATTAGGGTTTTTAGTACGTGTCTGAGAACTGCTAGGGAAAGTTGTGAACAATGATGTGACAAACACACTGTCACGGGGTAATAGAACCCTGTGGCCCAGCAACCAAAGGGTTAATGTGAGTATTGCCAGCCAAAGCTGATATTCCCCCAGCTCCTGTGAGGCTTCCTAAGAAAGCTGGGAAGCAGAGGGGCAGAGCAGCTGCCAGTCGAGCAAGCAGGCTAGAGAAGAGAAAACTGACAGCAAGTTGCTGAGACACTGTGAAGAGACAGAACCTTTAGAAGGGATGATCGGACCAACAGGAGGAAAAGCCTACAGAGACCAAAGAGAGTAGGAAGGAACTCAGGGCACAGCAAGCATTAATAAATCCTGTTTATCTTAAGGGCCCTCAGCTGGAACCCATCAAGTGGATGGGCCTTGGTTCCCCTACCAATTTCTGAGGCTATGTCTAGACTCTATGGGGTTTTTTTGGGATACCTCTGGTATCCTGGAAAAACTATGCTGCATCCAGGGAACATGTCTGCTCTTCTGCTTTTTTCTGAGAAAGAGCAGACGTGCTCTTTCGGAAGCCATTTTCATCCTCCCACTAGGAAGAAGGGCTCTTCTGAAAGAGGGTTTTTTATGAAATTTGGCCCAGTGTAGATGGGCTGAAGTACGGAAAAGCCTCTTCTGAAAAAAATATCAGAAAAAGGTACACAAATAGTAAAGTGAAATTTGTGTACCTTTTCCCGATAAAGCCCCATAGTATAGACATAGCATGAGAAACTCGAGAAGTGAAGTTTCAGACTCCCCGGAGACCAGGAGCATACGATGCTGTCATGAATAAAGGGTAAATCCCCACATCACACTGGGACTCAGGCAAGAAGACTGCCTTGCCAGATGATGCAAAGTCTGATTGTAACGCTCCATTTGACCAAAGGGGTTTCTGTTGCAGACACACCAGAAATATCTCATTTTCACTGTTAAATTAAAGGTGTTTGGAAGCTGGAGAATGACTTGCTCCAGTTTGCCAAGTACTGTTTATAGTCACACATATACTATCATTGCAGCAGTATACATATTCACATTATATATATATATATATATATATATATATACTTATATTTAGCCCTGAGCAAGTCACATGAGCTGCAGCTGTGTGCTGATCAGGCCGCACATGACATAAACCCTAACAATGGGATAGGAGGCCACTGTAATCTCCAGAGATAGTCACAGAATGAGTCTGATTCTAGAGCTACTGAACTTAGAAATTCACTTCAGTCTTGACTCCTCCCACAGTGGGTTTGATGGAGACATCAGAAAACTCAGTCAAACCTGTCCAAGGGGATGAGATTCGCTACCTCACACTAGAGGCTTCTACTAAGAAGCAAGGAGACAATGGGGTGCGTCTGCTGGGCTCTGCAATTAGTAGGGATGTCAACGGTTAGAGGACTACGCAATTAACCAATAAGCCTAGACAGCAGCCCCGCCCATGGAGTTCCAACCTCCCTGTGAACAGGGACTGCTCTTTGCGGAGAGATCATATATATATATATATATATATTCTAAGCCTCTATCATATTTTTTCACCCTTTTGTTTTGTGATAAAAATGTGTCTTTCAATTTACCTCGTCAGGTTCCAGCTGAATAGCCCTGTCATAACAAGCTGTGGCATCTCTTAGCAAGCCAATGCTTTCATGTTCAAGGATTTGTTCTCTGAGAGATGGCTCTGCTTTCCGAATTGCACTGACTCCAGCTACTCCATCTGGTTCATGCATAGCAGCATACAATTTCTTTTTTCAAACATGGAAAATATTACAATTGAAAATGTAAATCTAACATGGTTATTTTAGTTGTCAAGGCCAACAAGAAGACATTTGTATAATGTAATAAGAATCAAGCATGTCGCTTAATTGTCTCATGAAACTGCTCTGAACGAGAGTTCTTAGTCACAAGCTGTGACTCTAAGACATCATATAACCGAACAATAAAATCTTTTGACATCTTAGCAGATTTTGCTGGCCAAACTTCCACATGAACTTCAGTCATTCTTTAATTTTCATATGGTCCAGTGATCACTATCTCATGTTATTAAATGGATACAATAGCAAATGTATTTGAAGTAATTTGTACAAAGGACAAAATAATACTGTATTATGCAGCAAAATTGTATAGTACAGTTTTACAAATGCATATAACTCTTACACACGTAGAAGGAGTGTCTTAGATTATTTTTCAAACTAGGAAATCATTGGGCAATTTCAATCCTAAGAAGTGAAATCTAGTAGGAAGTCAGTTAACATATAAGTTAACTATGCTGCTTGAAAATAATTCTTCCTCTTTGTAATACTTACGGTGTACACTCTCTATTTTAGCATAAATTACTCCACTTTACAAAAATATTTCATAATACTAATATTTTATTTATTGTAAATCATGACTAGCTTTTATTTAGTCTAAAAAGTGTGCCAAGTTTACTGAAGGACAAAATTGCTCTTTTTTTAAAAAAAGATCCATGTTAGAGATAATTGAGATTTTTATATAACTTTCTTGTTTTCTTCTATTAAAGAGAAACATCCTTCAGCTTATTACATAAGAAGACATGATGAACAAGGAAAACATTCCTAGTTGCTTGAGTACAGATAACTGTCGATTGTAGCTTCAGACATCAATAGCATAATCACATCTGAAATCTTTGAGAAAAGACAAAGAGGTAACCTTAAGCGATGACAACTATACACAAGGACTATCTCTGTTTTCAACTTCATTTTAAATGAAAAAAAAAAATTAAAACCTGCAAAAATCCCAGATGCTCCTGAATATTTTGTTTCTTTTCTGTGATGAATGATTCAAAGTGCATTACAGCCCTTGTGTATGCTTTAGAGCGAAAGGAAGCAGCAGCCAAAGTATCCTGAGGTATGAGGTCTAGAAAACGTGTCACACTTTGATATTCTGCATAATCCTCATTTGATGCTATGGAATAAAACAGTTTAAGACTTTTATTATCCAAGTTTCATTTACAAAGTCATCGTTAAAGAATAAAATTCAGTTTATCCATCACCCTAAATTAATCATTTAATTAAGAATTACATTTGTCTATTTATTTTCTTAAAAGCAGGTTAGCTGCAAGTTCTTAAAATTGTCAAGGCAGTATATTATATCAACTTAGCTTTATAGAAGATTTCTAAAAATACATTCAAGATATATTAAGTAACAAATGTTCTAAGATTTCTTTTAAGTATCCATAAATTTTTCAAATACAGTAAAACACCAATTGTCCGGCATTCAGTGGTCCCTCACTCCTGATAGTCCGGCATCAACTGGAACCTAGAAGTACTCTGGCCAGCCGGACAATTGGAGCTGCTGTGAGCCCCATGGGCGCTCGCGGCTGGGAAAGGAAAAGGGAGAAGAGCACCGCTGCTCACGCCCCTGCTTGGCGGCCAGCAGCACCCCAGCTGCTCTGCTCTCCGCTTCCCCAAGGCCGCC